ATTCTTATCTTCCCTGCCTTCCATTAAATACTAATGGGAAGACTACTATAAGAAACTTTCTCAGATTGGGAAGTGTGTATGGCAAGGGAGACCTCAGAGTGATGATCAGATGTGCAACAGAAAACATCAACACTATTGTTATTATTGTTGTATTATTGTATTATTTTTGAACTGCATTGTATTGCTGTTGTTCTACTATTAATAGCTCCAAGAAGAAGATATTTTGACAACCAAGTAGAACAACTTAGGAAGAAAAAGTATGAGAAACGACAAACAGATTTTGGCAGAATATTGGATATTGCTCTGCCATGGAAGATCTGTGTTCACTCCTCCAGTTAAGTGGACTAAGAAACTATACTGGGGGAGATATATCTATCTTGCCTTCTCCTTGCTTTTATCCCAATGCCTGCAAGTTTTAATTGTGAAAAGTATAGCACAGTGGGAAAAAATGGACATAGAAGCCGTGTTTCCAATGGTAGACATATTTACTTTAAGATACATTGGAGAGTCTAAACCACTAGGCTCAGGCAGGCAAAGCCAAGATATCATATTTTCTGGCATATGACTTTCTAAAGCGTTGAAATCAGCGCTGAAGTCGGGGGTCATCTTATACGCCGAGTCTCCTTATACGCCGGAAAATACGTTAATTAGAGGAAACTAGAAATCACTAATTTCTAAACACACATAGACACAAAATTACAGAACCTTCAGAATAAGGTAGAAAAAATAAACCTTTTTATGCAATGGAGGAACGTTTAGCCAAACCTTAGAAAGCCACACATTTCAGATGATAATTAGAGAGAACCTGAATGCAGAAAGGAATACATTATGGCTCTAAAAGCTTCAAAACATCCTCTCAAGGCTGCTGTATGAGCCAATACAGACCTTGGTTCCAAAAAGAGCCCCCTGGTGGTGCAGTAATTAGAATACAATATTGCAGGCTAACTCTGCCCACAGCCTGGAGTTCGATCCTAAAAGGCTCAAGGTTGACTCAGCCTTCCCTCCTTCATAGCTTGGTAAAATGCGGACCCAGATTTTCAGGGACGATATGCTGACATTGCAAACTGCCCAGAGAGGGCTGCCCAGCACTATGGAGCGATATATCAATCTAAGTTGCTATTGCTAACAAGCAAAACAAAAGCCGCTACTTTATTTTATTGTCCATCAGCTCCTCATATGGAGCTCCTCTAATAGCTGGACAAAGTTACTGGATATGCGCTGCGTTTTAGCAAAGATCACCCCTCTCACTCAGGCCTGGTATCTCTGTTCTGTAAACCCTGGTTCCACTTAAAATCCAATCTGAAAACTCCATTGCCACAAACCAATTCTCTTCCTTCAAGCTATTAACCGAAACAAGACAAGAAAATGTTGATGCTGCCATTAGCACAGGGGATCAATTCCAATGTCAGCGTTTTAGCCAGATGCCCTTGCTGAGAATGAGCATTGCTTTATCTATGCAATATGGCCAATTGCTCTTTTTCTTCATTTAACCACTCGACAGCAAGGAAAAATAGTAATGAAATATGCTGCGCTTACATGGATGGTTACAGGCAGACTTTCCTTGGGGATTATTTTCTTCTTCTTCTTCTTCTTCTTCTTCTTCTTCTTCTTCTTCTTCTTCTTCTTCTTCTTCTTCTTCTTCTTCTTCTTCTTCTTCTTCTTCTTCTTCTTCTTCCTTCTTCTTCTTCTTCTTCTTCTTCTTCTTCTTCTTCTTCTTCTTCTTCTCCTCCTCCTCCTCCTCCTCCTCCTCCTCCTCCTCCTCCTCCTCCTTCTTCTTCTATAAGTCACTTCTCATTTACAGTTTTATTGATCTCAGGTAAGGGATAGGAATGGGATATTCCCGTGGTCTTCTAGGATGAATCCTATGTAACGTATATATGTTTTTTATTTCTGATGCACAACTATGGCTAAAACTCAACAAAACAGGTTACCAGGGCACCACTCCATTGATTTCATGTCCGCTTATTCTTCCTGAGCAGGGTTGAATGCTTTATCTATAATTCAGAAGGCTACAAGCTGGGTCCTGAAGGACTTGGCAGGTCCTGGAGGAGATGCTAAACCATCATTCTACAGAGGTAGGAATACTGTTTCAGTTGCAGCAACAAAGGAGGTCAAAAAGTCTCTGTTTTGTCGGGCTTCTGTCAGAAACGCAGCCAAGGCTATCGTACTAAAAATGCCGGCTTTTGGTATGTTGTAAGATTCTAGTCAACATCTTCCCAAAATTCAATACACTGAAGTTCAGGTTCCAGCTGAACCAATAGCGATATTGCTGTGGCTTGACTTAATCAAAGGCATTTATTATGTTTTGCTAAGTTACAGTATTTAAATCTTTCTTGGTCAAGAGGAAAACAGGGTCATATATAATCTAAGCATATACATAATGTTTTTAAAAAAGGTTTATTTCATTTAGATACAGGTAGTCCTTGACTTATGACCACAACCCAGTCCAAAATTTTTGTTGCTTAGGCAAAGATTGGTCAAGTTGAGTTTTGCCCCATTTGATGCCCTTTCTTCCCACCGTTGTTAAATAAATTAACTGCCGTTGTTAAGTTAGCCACACAGTTGCTAAGTGAATCTGGCTTCCCCATTGATTTTGTATGTCAGAAGGTCGCAAAAGAGGATCACGTGACTTTGGGACACTGTAATGGTCATAAATATGAACCCGTTGCCAACCAGTTGAAGTTTTATCACGTGACCCCCCCGGGGGATGCTGCAAAAGTCGTAAGTGTGAAAAAGTCACTTTTTTCACTGCCGTTGTAACTTTGAATGGTCAGTAAATGAACTGTGGTAAGTCAAGGACTGCCTTTATTTATTTGTTTATTTATTTGATACTACACGATTACATATTACATGTTCACTTATTTGTGAACATGTAGTAATAGTAATAGTAGCAGGTAGGTGCTTTCTAAACCATAGTGCCCTGCAAATCCTAAGTGATGATTTCTTCAGCAAAACAAAAATTAAGCAACTCAGGACTTGCTAGGTCTGAATCCGGCCTCTGATTCATTTTGATGGATGCACAGACATTTTTTTACCAACCGAGGCTGAGAATCTCCAAGAAAGTTTTTGAGATTCATCAGAAAGACCGAACAAAGCAATGAATGAGCCTGCACAATTTACAGTCTCATAGATTAATATTAATGTTATAACTTGAAGTGGTAGTAGATCAGTAGAAGTAGTAATAGTGGTTTATTAATTGATTAGTCTTATGACCAGCTTAAATAATAGATCATTAGTCAATACATTTTTAAAATAAAGACTAAGTGCATAGGAAATTTGCCATTTCTAGCTCCAGTGCTAAATTACTTTTATAGGTAACCCAACTGAGAGCACCCTGTGTAATTTCATATATGACGGTTTAAATATCCAACTCTTTGGCTCTTTGACAAGAAAAAAGAGCAAAATTTTCTAGGGGACAGTCTGAAACATGTGACATCCTGTAAATCTTTCTCCGATTAATACATCGAAAGAATCAGCTGCCACTTTCAAAGAACTTGTCAAGGTTTTCCTGGGTCTATATTAGATATTTAATTGCTGACAAAAGGCTGTCCAAAGTCAACTAGCCAGTTTCCATAACTGAAAGTGGCCTTGAACCCTGATCATACCAGTCCCAGTTCTAGCATTTTAATCATAAAATTGTACTAGTTCTGTTTCATACAGCTAATTAATTAGTTCCCTATGTATTGAACAGAGGTATGTGAGTTGTCTCATTTAGTCAAATGCTCCAGTTGAAATCAATATGATTTGAACCTTCAAATTGATTCAGATGACTAGACCTCCAACAGGAAATCCAATTTGATCCGCTTTAGGTTACTAAAATTCATGGGTGCAGAAAGAGCTCCCAGTTGTTTCAGACTGATGAGCTATTCTGAACTGTGGGTCAGATAATTCTACTCCTTGAATAATCCACTCCTGTTGTCATTTTTGAAAATTGGTACAATTTAGTAAGGAGAATTTCTTGGCAACTTAAAGCTTTGGAGGCTCCTCTACATATCCCAACCTTGACAGTTTCCATGTGGGTAGACTTCAAATGCCAGAATTCCATTGGATATGAGTTCTAGGAGCTGAAGTCCACTCACAAGAAATTGCCAAAGTTGGCAAATGCTTCTGCTCTACCATGTATTGAATCTGCAGATTAGCTATTGTTGCAAATGGGAAAACTTTTAAGATATATTTCAGAAGAGGTGGTGACATGTCACCAGCATTTTTCATAGCAGCCACCCCTTTTTAATTATCCCGTCTGATTCTCCTCCCTCTACTTGCAGGTAGAATGAAAACTTACAGAGATTTACTCTTCTGAGCTTTTGGATTCATGCTGGAGAAGAAATGCTCCAGTTGAATCAATATGATTTGAACACAACTGCTTTGGGCTGTTGTTTTTTATGTGGTGCCTTCCTATTGGCTGATTGGTGTGTTGGTGGCTGGCAATTGGCTGTCGTTTCCTTGTGCTGGCAAGTCCTCGGCTCCTAAATACTCGATAAGCTAATGGTAAATCAGCACTCCTGTTAACTGACATGGGGCCCATTTCTCAGGCTTCAATCACTACCCTGGCTGTTTTTGTGCCTGCTCGACCAACAATCTTAGTAGTTGCAGAATTGAATGTACTGTATGTCATTGTTTATTGCAATGTGAGGCTACCAATGAGTTTGGGTTTTCTCGTCTGATCGCTCGCTTGTGTTCTTGCAATCTGGTGGTTAGCTTCCTCCCTGTTTGTCCTAGTCACCTGGGCAATCCACTCAGGGGATCTGGTAGATCACATTGGAAGTATCAATCACCAGCCATCGACACACCAATCAGCCAATAGGAAGGCATCACATAAACACAACTCACAGAACAGCCCAAAGGACATATTTCAGTAGAGAGAAATTCCTTGAAGATGGGATCCAGCATGAGTCCAAAAGTTTGGAAGAGTAAAATTTTGGTTCTGGTGACCGACCCAAATTCATTTTTGCATCATTATCCTGGGACACATATATTTGCCTTCGATCATGAAAACTTACAATTCCGTAAGCCTCAGTGTCTTGAAGAGTAACCACGAAAGAGTGGTCAGCCGGTTACCTGAGAGATTTCTGGGGACAAAAAGAGAAAGAATTTACAATTAATCAGTCGTCCCCTCCTCTTTGCAACTTCATTCCCCTCTGCAAGCAGATAGTGCAAATTGAAATAAACAAACAAAATTGTTAGAATGGAAAATATTACAAGTTTGGAATTAAACCAGAATTCCCTTTCCATTTAAATCCTAAAATAAGAACAATAAAGACAAGGGGAAATCGACTGTATGTGAAATGCTCTCTCTGAGCAGGGATAGCAATGCCTATTAAATTAGGAAGAATCTGTAGCTGCCATTTCCAAGGATTAATTAGCAATCTAATTTTAAAGGGAAGTAGATCCAGTAAATAAGCAAATATTGATCAAAATAGCGTATATTCCAGCCATTTTGCATTTTTAAAGCAAAACTGAATGCCCAGAATAATCCAGAATCTGTTTATTTGTACATCAGAATCCAGCAACTGATAGAAATTATCCAGATTAGCAACTATGTATTACTTTATGGCTTTTTAAAAACCCATTTCATTGCTCCTAATCCATTGTCAATATATGAGCAAGTAATAATAGTTCGCTACTAAAGTTATCTATTATAAATAACATATAGTTATGTCAGTGGATAAACACATAAAGTATATAACTATCTGGATATAACATGAACATTTATGATTTTAAAGAAGCCTTTATTTCTTACTCGTTATTATCTCAATCTTCATAAGGAGACAGTACTAACATAATCTTCAAGGTTGTTTCACTAATTCAAATATAATTATTGAGTTTCCTACATGACAGTACTGACCGGTGATTAAGTCCCAATGTGATCTGCTTTATGTTTAGCATTAGGTGTCAGATGACTCAGTTATGGCTTGGGGCTATCTGTGATCCTAGTCACTGTGATTAACAAATCATGGTTAACAAAGTCATGGCTTAAGAAAATTTGTAAATCCAATCAAGAAAGGTAAAGCTATGAGCAAAATTAATGTCACAGAGCATAAAATAATATAATATGGTATAATACAGTAGGGTAGGGTAAGGTATCATATGGCGTAGTAACCAGACCAGTTTACTAGACTGTTAAATTCTGTAGACTTTGCATGCATGGGTTAATTTTTTGCTATATGATAGCTCATTTGCATAATAACATACTGACATTTGAATGATATAATGTGCATCAATTACATCATTTGTTTAGTGCCATCATCATGCAAGTTACCCAAAAAAAATATTACGTACATCACCCCAATGATATTCACTCTCCAATTTAACCATCAGCAAGTAAAGTCATACAAAAGTAGAAAGCAAACATTTTCTCCATAAAACAACATAACAAAGTTCCTGCTTGTAGCAATAAGAAGTTTGTGGGAAGACTTTACGTTGAAGAGCATATTTCTAGGATCTTTGGCTTTCTGATTCTCACACTACAATGTGTGCGTAGTCCGATGCAAACCTTAGTATCTTAAAAGTAGAGAAGACCATAATGATCCAGGTGGTAGGTTGTATATCAAAAACAAAGAAGAGGGCAGAAAGGAAACTTTACAAAATCAGAGTAAGGAATTTTAACACCAAGGGAATGAGAGAGAGAGAGAGGGAGACCTAAAATTGTTTCTCACATCTTTGTGTTATTCACGCTAAGACTATTGCCATGGCAACCCAAGATCAACTTTATCATACAGTCCCCACTCCAGCTGAGAAAGGCATAGCTCCCCCCTTAAAGTGTGAAATCTATTTACCCCAGGAAGTATTTATAAGCTAGCATCCTCAACTGCCCCTCCCCTTTACTCTTTCTCCAAGACATTTTGGGGAAATAAATTGTTTAAAGGAGTGAGGGAAGAGGAGAGAAAGAAATTACAGTAAAGAATATTTCATTTGCACAATGCAGTCAGTTTAAACACCTTTGATGTTGTTGACCCATTATATAACACTTCTGCACATAATTATTTTAAAACATTTAAGTATATGATGTAAGGATGCATGCCAGGCAATATTTTAAAAAAATGGGGGGAGCACTCCCTTGCTGCCCTTTTTTATAGATTTATTTAGAAATAGCCTTAAAGAAATCCCACCCGTTTTCATTCACAGATTTCTGCAATGTGTTAACTCTGCTACTATTTGATGTAAATTCATGAAGAATTTTTTTTCTTTTATAAAACAAATATTCATATCTCTCCCATATTTTCAGCATACGTTTTCCGGGTTCTTATACTGATACTTCTTTTAATGTTCAAGTTTCCATGGTAAACACTTTTTTCCATTGGGCCTGTCAAAAATTATTATTGTTATTATTGTTGTTTTGTTGTCATCTGAAGAAAGGTACACCCTAATGGATTCCATTCAATATTTAGATAATTCTCAAATTCAGTCCCACACATATCCTTGAAACTTTCCCTTTATATTATATGTTTTGACCCAAAGCAGTTTTACACCTACACCAGAACAGTAATACTTCCATGCAACAATGCTTCGGCGTTATGGTTTGAATAAAAATCAGAACAACAAAGAACTCCTTTGATAACTAACCAAAGAGAGAAGCAACCTAGAACTAAGGAGAAACTTCCTGACAATTAGAACAATTAACTAGTGGAACAACCTGCCTCCAGAAGCAGTGAATGCACCAACACTGGAAGTTTTTAAGAAGAAACTGGACAGCCATTTGTCCAAAATGGTGTAGGGTTTCCTACCTGAGCAGGGGGTTGGACTCGATGACCTCCAAGGTCCCTTCCAACTTTATCATTATTATATTATTACATATACATACAATGCAAAATTATAATGTAGCTTTGTTGAGCAGATTGTATATGAATCATCTGTAGTGTTTCTGGCATAAGGAAAGAGTGTGAAATCATAATGTGGTTTGGGGAAACATATTACGAGAACCCAACCACAGTGCTTGATAAACCATGGTCAGCGGCTTAGCACATGATGAGAAGCCAACTGTGGCTTGTTCAAAAAAACGTGACTTATTGTGCTGCTTGAATCAGCTTGCTCTCCCTTGCAGTACGTATACATAGACAGCTTCCTAATCTAAACCCTTTATTCATATTGGATTGCCAATGTGTAATATATTATATTTCTCCCCAAACCATCCATATTTCCACTGTTCTCTCACTCACGCTGTGTCTCTCAACACATGCTTCCTAAGAGTTACGCAAGCCACAGGATTCTTCCCCTCTTTCACCTGAGCACCATTCTTTCCCAGCTCTACTGCACATTATAATGCCCTCTTGTTGTGACCTTGTTTGCTGCCACAAATGGCTAGGTGCATGAATCGTGAGCAAGAAACCCAGAGGCTCATTAAGGGCACGGCCTGTTAAAGGAAATGCTCGGAGCCAGGAGAGAGGAAGTCACGAAGCAAACCCTGGGAAGCCACAGCCCATAACAAAATCACCATTTAACTCTTTGCACACACCAAGCCACCAGCTGCTACTCTGGGTCCTGCTCAAGGCTCAGGAGATCCAGAGAGACAGGAAGTCTTCGGCGTTCAAATACCCTTCTGTTCAAGGAGAACATCTACGCATTGGGGAAGAAGCTACAGTTTGATCTCAGTTTGCAGAGATGGGACTGCAAGACTGAGATGATGGGAAGCAGAAATAGCCCCAAACTAGTAAGTGACCCTGCCCTGAACGTTTTTGTGGGAAGAAGAATCAAGTTGTCCACCTGACTGTTTTCTGTTCCATTTTCCAAGCATTTTAAATGAGGTTCTCACTATGTCATCAGGTGGTGTGTTTAGTTTAAGGTGCTAAGTAAACTATACCATTATGGTCTTCAAAGTCCATCCAATGTATAATGCATATGTACATTTACCAATGCTGCTAACATCGGATGTTCTTGCAGCCATTTTCTCTATGCTCTTGCTAACATCGGATGAAAATGCAGCCATTTTCTCTATGCTTTTAGAATTAGTTGGTGCTGGGAGGGGGGATCGGGATGAGAGTTCAGTTAGTCATAATAATAATAACTCTGCCATGGGAATCCAAAAACAAATGTTTTGGCGGGCTGGAGAGCTGGGGAGAAAGCCCGGCCACTTCAAACTAATTGGGGAATGTGCTTTATGACTGTTTATTGGGGGTGGGAATTGTACTGTAATTGTAATTGAATTGTAATGGGTGGAAGCTGGTTAAGGAAACATCCAACCTAGGAGAAATTTTCTGACAGTAAGAACAATCCATGAAATAGGTTGCCTCCTGGAATTGTGAGTGCTCCATCCCTGGGTTTTTGTTTTCTTGTTTTGTTTTGTTTTTAAAATAGACTGGACAACCATTTGACAAGCTGCCTCCTGCCTTGAGCATGGGGTTGGACAAGCTCTGAGGTTCCTCCCAGTCCTATGATTCTATGGTCTAGTGCACCAATTGAGTGTGCATCAACCCTATCATGTGGGTCTCCGGACGCAATTCAAGGTGTTGGTTATCACCTTTAAAGCCCTTCATGGCATAGGGCCAGGTTACTTACAGGACCGCATTCTGCCACATAGTTCCCAGAGACCGGTGAGGTCCCATAGAGTGGGCCTCCTTCGGGTCCCGTCGGCCAGACAGTGTCGGCTGGCGGGCCCTCGGGGAAGGGCCTTCTCTGTGGTGGCTCCGACCTGGTGGAATCAACTTCCCCCCGAGGTTCGAACAACTCCCACCCTGCCGGCCTTTAAGAAGGCTGTTAAAACCCTCCTGTTCCGGCAGGCCTGGGGCTGATGTCCCCGGGGGGGGCGGGATATGATCGGACTCGCGGTATGACTGTGGTATGACTGCTTTATTTTACTGTTTTATCATTGTTTTTAACTTTGTACGCCACCCTGAGTCCTTTGGGATTGGGCGGCATATAAATACTGTAAATAAATAAATAAATAAATAAATTCAAAAAACACTGTACTATTGGTACTTTCTTTTATCCTTTTACCAAGCAGGTGGACCCCCTTCCAAACAAATCAAACCGGCTGTCCATCTTACTTACTTATTTTAAGAACGCTTGGGAGAACCTAGAGATCTCATGAAAATAAAGAGCTGCTGTCAGCTTTCCTTGATTCTTTTATACAGAC